CTCTGTGGCTGTGTCGACTAAGGGGACTGACGGAACTGTGTGTGTGTGTGTGTGTGTATGTGTGAGCTAAGGGGACTGTAGCCCCATGTCACCTGAAGGTACATAGATCATGTTTACAATCCCTTGTCCCATATGCTGGATTGAGAAGTTATGCATTTAAACACATTAGAGTAGCACTTGTCATCTCCCGTCTGGATTACTGCAACTCGCTGTTGGCAGGGCTCCCTGCCTGTGCCATTAAACCCCTACAACTTATCCAGAACGCTGCAGCCCGTCTGGTGTTCAACCTTCCCAAGTTCTCTCATGTCACCCCGCTCCTCCGCACACTCCACTGGCTTCCAGTTGAGGCTCACATCTACAAGACCATGGTGCTTGCCTACGGAGCTGTGAGGGGAACGACACCTCCGTATCTTCAGGCTCTGATCAGACCCTACACCCAAACGAGGGCACTACGTTCATACACCTCTGGCCTGCTAGCCCTCCTACCTCTACGGAAGCACAGTTCCTACTCAGCCCAGTCAAAGCTATTCGCTGCTCTGGCACCCCAATGGTGGAACAAGCTCCCCCACGACGCCAGGACAGCGGAGTCACTGACCACCTTCCGGAGACATTTGAAACCCTACCTCTTTAAGGAATACCTGGAATAGTATAAAAGTAATCCTTCTACACCCCCTTCCCCACAAAAAAAGTGGTTGTCCCACTGGCTATCATAAGTTGAATGCACTAATTTGTAAGTCGCTCAGGATAAGAGCGTCTGCTAAATGACGTAAATGTAAATATAGTAATCTAACTGACATTGGAGGTCACGTTCGTAATTCAACCTTAACATAAGGGGACTGTCTCATCTAAAGGGGATGGAATCAGTCTTGTCTCAGGTTCCGCTACTAGTTACGGTTGAGTCGGAACCATGAACAAGCAGCCATGAAGCACTGGCCAGGCTTTTATAGTCGAGGAACAAAGAGTGCTCTCTCTCACACACACACACACACACATTTGCAGGCTTTTCATCTGTGGTTTGCAGCAGCAATGCAGGTTGTGTTATGATTGGGACTTAACCAGGGACACACAAGAACAAACAGAGTGTGAAGGAGTGAGGGAGAAATGGAGGTGAAAAAAAGAGAGATGAAGGGTCTAAGAGAGAGGGTCAGTCAGAAGCAACTTTACACCTCATTTGTTTCTGTTCCAATAATACACACTACAGCCCTTGCGAAACACCATAAACCTCAGAACATTGTTGTATCCTGTAGTTCCATTCCATCCAACAGAACACAGCGATGTAACAGTAAGGACCGCCCTTTAGCGGAAAATCATTTGAGTTACGCAATGGTATAACAGAAAGCACATTTAAACGAAGTTATTTAAATACATAAACTTTATTAGTTCAGGTGGGCCTTCACGCTTCAGCAGACAAAGGAAAGGAGGGTGCTCAACAACAATAACTAAAATCATGAGAAGGGCTTACCAAGAAAAACTTCCAAAAGGACTCATTTGAGGTAGAAAGGAGTTGGAGCACTCAACAAAAAAAAAAGCAGACATTGATTTCCTCAGAAGAAGACTGTCAGCTTGACGTCCACCTGTTCGCATCCTGTACAATGGATTAAAGTGAGCTAAAATAAATACATCTCTACTCAAATGAGTCCTTTTGGAAGTTTTTCTTGATAAGCACTTAACATTAACTTTGTTTTATGGCATAAGAAAATAACAGAGATCACAGTAACAAATACCTATGAGGGAACATTTATTGTATAGTGTAACAACTGACAAAATGATCAGTCTGACTGCATGAACAATAGTGCCCCCTCTTTTCTACTCGACAGGACAAGATCGCCTTGTATCCAAACTGAATCCAGTCTGTTTCACTAACTTTTGAAGCGTGGCAGGGTTGTGTACAATTCTATTTCCATTCCAGTTAATTCAGAAAGTAAACGGAATTCCAATTTCACATTCTCCTCATTGAAAAGCATTGAAGAGAACTGGAATTTCAAAAGTACTTCCTGAATTGACATGGAATTGACCCCAACCCTCGAGCGTGGATTTAGTATGGACATCATGACAACAAGGGATAACTTTAAAGACATTACAGAGCCTATTATACAGACATAAACACAAACGATATACAGGTTCTCCTCAATTAAGTCTGAACACATTTAACACATGAAGATTGTCTGATATGATAAAGAAAACAGGGCTTAGTCCGTTTGGCTATGTGAATACGGATATGTTTTATGCAAGATACTTGACATTCTTATTTGATGGGAATTTACATTTAGATTTACAGTGACTAGCAATTGACAGTAAATGTGAATAGCTATACTACTAAGAGGTTGCAATGAAAGTATGAGTGCTCAGAGAGGATGGTGAGGGGTTTGGTGGTAGATCAAGGGTAAGAGTTACTAGTTGTTGGCAGATTCATGGGTGGGCTTACAACCAAAATGTTTGTATTTTTCTCATTGCCTCAAATATATCAAAAAGCATAAAATAACTTTGAAAATCTAATTTTTGTGTGTGGATTTACTACCAATGGTACAGATGGCACCAATCTTTAATATTTTCTAAATACACTGAATATACATTTGTTGATATAAAATGATCTTGGAAGGCTGATCTATTGTTGAGTGCAGATCCTCCAAACTACAAAGTCCAAATTCTTTTAACTCCTGAAGGGGAGGTACGTGATAGATAGTACGAGACAGAAGGCAGTTGTTGATGGTAAAAGCTGTACAGCAACGTAGGCACTTGCGACTGATTAATAGAGTATAATTCTTAAAGTAATTTAAAATACATTACTTAAAGTAAGTCATTTTGAATCCCTCCAAACCTTTGGATTCAGATGGGAGGGATACATTTGGTGGTCTTTATCGTCCCCTATTGGTACAGTTGAGGTCAGGCTGGGTGAAATGGGCTGGATTGAATACGTGAGCTTTGCTGACCCCTAAAGGTTTACGCAGAAAACACATTCAACACAACATGGGGCAGGCAGTGGAAATGAATGGGCAGTTGGATAACGCATCATCTTAGTCCTAAAAAAAGTACTTATTTCAGATGCATTTCAGCTTTGTTAACTTAATATACTGAACAAAAATATAAACGCAACATATAAAGTGTTGGTCCCATGGTTCATGAACTGAAATAAAAGATCCCAGACATTTTCCAGACATCCCTGTTAGTGAGCATTTCTCTTTTGCCAAAATAATCCATCTACCTACAGGTGTGGCATATCAAAAAGCTGATTAAACAGCATGATCATTACACAGGTGCACCTTGTGCTGGGGACAATAAAAGGCCACTCTAAAATGTGCAGTTTTGTCACACAACACAATGCCACATGTCTAAAGTTGAGGAAGCGTGCAATTGGCATGCTGACTGCAGGAATGTCCACCAGAGCTGTTGCCAGAGAACTGAATGTTCAACTCTCTACCATAAGCCGCCTCTAATGTCGTTTTAGAGGCCTCACAACCGCAGACCACATGGAACGACGCCAGCCCAGGACCTCAACATCCGGCTTCTTCACCTGCGGGATCGTCTGAGACCAGCCATCCGGACAGCTGATGAAACTGTGGGTTTGCACAATCAAATAATTTCTGCACAAACTGTCAGAAACAGTCTCAGGGAAGCTCATCTGCGTGCTCATCGTCCTCCCCAAGGTCTTGACATGCCTGCAGTTTGACGTCGTAACCGAGTTCAGTGGGCAAATGCTCACCTTCGATGGCCACTGGCACGCTGGAGAAGTGTGCTCTTCATGGATGAATCTCGGTTTCAAATGTACTGGGTAGATGGCAGACATTGTGTATGGCGTTGTGTGGGTGAGCGGTTTGCTGATGTCAATGTTGTGAATAGAGAGCCCCATGGTGGCGGTGGGGTTATGGAATGGGCAGGCATAAGCTAGGGACAACGAACAAAATTGCATTTGTCGACACGACCATTGTCGTGTAATTTATCCGCCGCCATCACCTCATGTTTCAGCCTGAAAATGCACAGCCCCAATTCCTAGAAGCTGAAAATGTCCCAGTTCATCCATGGTCTGCATACTCACCAGACATGTCACCCATTGAGCATGTTTGGGATGCTCTGGATGGACGTGTATGACAGTATGTTCCAGTTTCTGCCAACATCCAGCAACTTCGCACAGCAATTTTAGAGGAGTGGGACAACATTCCACAGGCCACAATCAACTGCCTGATCAACTCTATGCGAAGGAGATGTCGCGCTGCATGAGACAAATGGTGGTCACACCAGACACTGACGGATTTTCTGATCCACGCCCCTACCTTTTATTCAGGTATCTGTGACCAACTGATGCATATCTTTATTCCCAGTCATGTGGAATCCATAGAATAGGGCCTAATTAATTTATTTCAATTGACTGATTTCCTTATATGAACTGTAACTCAGTAAAATATTTGAAATTGTTGCATGTTGCGTTTATATTTTTGTTCAGAATAGTTCAGAGGGAAGCTCAATTGTGATCGGATCACATTGGACTTGCTTTAAAAGTCTTGATACTTGTTTGTGTTACTTTTCAAGCAACGTAAAAAAAATGTTGTTTACTTGTATGTGTTGTGTGCTGCAATTCAGCTTTTAGAGGCCAAGTACATCCTACATGTAAAATTAAAAACCCAGACTACTATTACTACTTAAAATAACTTCTATCCATTTCATAATTGAATCCTCCTTTAGGACCATAACATCTTGAATGGTCAGGGATTGTTTTAAGTACAGTGGATGTTGAATTTGAATACATGTGGAGGCAGGTAGCTTAGTGGTTAAGAGCGTTGTGCCAGTAACCGAAAGGTTGTTGGTTCTAATCCCCGAACCGACTAGGTGAAAAATCTGTCGATGTGCCCTTGAGCAAGGCACATAACCCTAATTGCTCCTGTAAGTCGCTCTGGATAAGAGCGTCTGCTAAATGACTAAAATGTAAATGTGTGTGGCACGGCCTTTTGTGAGTGTGTGGGTGTGTGTCACTGTCTGGTTTAGTCAAATCCTTGCCAGTCACTCTGTTCAGAGTCATACTCCAGCTCCACTCCCACACAACGCACTCCTTCCAACAACATGGGTGTACCATGGTGACGGTCTGGGAAACAGGGAGAGAGAAAGAGAGAGCGAGAGATAGCAACAGAAAATGAAAGAGAGGGAGAGAAAAAAATAAAAATACCATTAGGCTATTTCTCAGAAATGGTTTAGTCCACAACATCCGACCAGTGCCAGTGCTCTCTATTAAAGTGTGGTGAAGTAGAGAGTGAGTGAGATACAGTAAAGCCTTAAGGATTAAGCTGTGGGTTGATCTGTTTCCTGGCCTCTCCACGAACCCTTTCATTCAACTATATCCCCTCCCCTGCTCTGCCTGACTATAGATGTTCAAGTTCGGATCACCACTGTGGTTTTGTCCCAAATGGCACCCTAAGCCCGATGTAGTGCACTACTTTTGACCAGGGCTCCACAGCCTGTAAATAAAAACGCTACCCACCAACCCATTTATTAGGTAGCTAGTTGACACAAATAGACTGTCTGTCTATCAGTCATTTTTTTGCACTATTTTAATTTAAAATACATAAATGACTGAAAATGGATAGATAACTATAAACTCAGCAAAAAAAAGAAACGTCCTCTCACTGTCAACTGCATTTATTTTCAGCAAACTTAACATGTGAAAATATTTGTATGAACATAAGATTCAACAACTGAGACAAACTGAACAAGTTCCACAGACATGTGACTAATAGAAATTGAATAATGTGTCCCTGAATAAAATCAAAAGTAACAGTCAGTATCTGGTGTGGCCACATTAAGTACTGCAGTGCATCTCCTCCTCATGGACTGCACCATATTTGCCAGTTCTTGCTGTGAGATGTTACCCAACTCTTCCACTAATGCACCTGCAAGTTCCCGGACATTTCTGGGGGGAATGGCCCAAGCCCTCATTCTCCGATCCAACAGGTCCCAGACGTGCTCAATGAAATTGAGATCCGGGCTCTTCGCTGGCCATGGCAGAACACTGACATTCCTGTCTTGCAGGAAATCACGCACAGAACGAGCAGTATGGCTGGTGGCATTGTCATGCTGGAGGGTCATGTCAGGATGAGCCTGCAGGAAGGGTACCACATGAGGGAGGAGGATGTCTTCCCTGTAACGCACAGCGTTGAGATTGCCTGCAATGACAACAAGCTCAGTCCGATGATGCTGTGACACACCGCCCTAGACCATGACGGACCCTCCACCTCCAAATCGATCCCGCTCCAGAGTACAGGCCTCGGTGTAACGCTCATTCCTTCGACGATAAACGCGAATCCGACCATCACCCCTGGTGAGACAAAACCGCGACTCGTCAGTGAAGAGCACTTTTTGCCAGTCCTGTCTGGTCCAGCGACGGTGGGTTTGTGCCCATAGGCGACGTTGTTGCCGGTGTTGTCTGGTGAGGACCTGCCTTACAACAGGCCTACAAGCCCTCAGTCCAGCCTCTCTCAGCCTATTGCGGACAGTCTGAGCACTGATGGGAGGGATTGTGCATTCCAGGTGTAACTCGGGCAGTTGTTGTTGCCATCCTGTACCTGTCCCGCAAGTGTGATGTTCGGATATACTGATCCTATGCAGGTGTTGTTACACGTGGTCTGCCACTGCGAGGGCGATCAGCTGTCCGTCCTGTCTCCCTGTAGCGCTGTCTTAGGCGTCTCACAGTACGGACATTGCAATTTATTCACATCCGCAGTCCTCATGCCTCCTTGCAGCATGCTAAAGGCACGTTCACGCAGATGAGCAGGGACCCTGGGCATCTTTCTTTTGGTGTTTTTCAGAGCCAGTAGAAAGGCCTCTTTAGTGTCCTAAGTTTTCATAACTGTGACCTTAATTGCCTACCGTCTGTAAGCTGTTAGTGTCTTAACGACCGTTCCACAGGTGCATGTTCATTAATTGTTTATGGTTCATTGAACAAGCATGGGAAACAGTGTTTAAACCCTTTACAATTAAGATCTGTGAAGTTATTTGGATTTTTACTAATTATCTTTGAAAGACAGGGTCCTGAAAAAGGGACGTTTCTTTTTTTGCTGAGTTTATAAATAGAAAATACTTTTCTGTTGAAAGGAAATTAATTACAGGGTTTGTGTTAGGTTCCAAAGTGAATAATCATGACACAATCTATTCAATGCTTCCAGACACTGAAAGCAGTCTGAGTCCCAGTACTGCCACAGTGTGCTACAGACAGAAAATGGCTCCAACTCAAGTGCCAGGAAGAAAGAACGGGATGCAGTGATTATAATCAATCAGTCATGTTCAATACAGTGCAAGTATTATACCAAATCATAAGCTCTCCACTTATGCGTGACTTATTTCATTTTACTCAGGTTATCACAGTATCACAGTTTTCAGTGATGCGCTTAATTTAAACCGTGCTGTTCACACTTACCAGCAGGTGGAAGCAGCACACTACTACATCTACTCTCACAACCAGTCTCCTAGGTGCTAGACTGTTACGCAATTCAACAATGCTACATAAAAATACATAATTGCCTTGCTTTGCTTTGGGAAGAAAATGACAAGATGGCTACAGTAGAACTAAACTGATACTTCTTTAGAAACTCTATTAGAAGAGGCAGTTGGTTTTCAATACTGTTGTGTATTAATAATGAGAGAATTACAGGTAACTGCCAAAATAATGGAAACACTTGCGTAAATGAGGGATACAAAGTATATTGAAAGCAGGTGCTTCCACACAGGTGTGTGGTTCCTGAGTTAATTAAGCAATTAACATCCCATCATGCTTAGGGTCATGTATAAAAATGCTGGGCAGGCCATTATTTTGGCTATCATGGCTATGCCTCCATAGGATGACAATGCCCCCATCCACAGGGCACTAGTGGTCACTGAATGGTTTGATGAGCATGAAAACGATGTAAACCATATGCCATGGCCGTCTCAGTCACCAATTGAACACTTATGGGAGATTCTGGAGCGCTGTTTTCCACCACCATCAACAAAACACCAAATTAGGGAATTTCTTGTTGAAGAATGGTGTCGCATCCCTCCAATAGTTCCAGACACTTGTAGAATCTATGCCAAAGTGCATTGAAGCTGTTCTGGCTCATGGTGGGCCAACGCCCTATTAAGACACTTTATGCTGCGGTGTCCTTTATTTTGGCAGTTACCTGTACCTCTACAGAGCACATATTGCATGACACCACAACACAAGCTGTTTTCATCAGAATATATCATTTTTAGGTACGGTACATTGCTTCAAACTGGAAAGGAAGTTAAGTGTTGCAATGGTTTCATATTGATCAATCAACACTTCTCCAAGCGTTGGGAGATCTGGGATGTATTCACTAGGAACAAAACGGAAGCAAACGGAACGAAACGGGGGGAAACGTTTTCCGTTGGACTAATGATTGCAACCCAGATCATCTGAGCAGTGTGACTGCAATAAAGACGACCTGGAATGCCCCCTCTGATTTTGTTATCATGGGTGTAACACTACAGCTACCCTAGCGCGCCCAGAAAACAGTAGGTCTCATTTAAAATCAATAGGGGTGTATCATGCTCGTCCAACGTTACGATGTAGCTGGCCTCTAACTGTGGTCTTACCCATGACGCGGGCATGCACCTTGACCCCCACGCAGACATCCTCCTGGCTCTCACTGACCAGCATCACCTCCTCACACAGCACCCCCTCCTGGTGGGCCATGTACTCACATGTCACTCTCAGACCACCTGAGGAGAGGAAGGAAGGAAGGGAAAAGAAGGGCAAAAAGCCAGAGGGATAGGGAACACGTATACAGAAAGAGAGAGGGGGGGGGGGGGGGGGGGGGGGGAGAGAGGTGCTTGGTATGACTTTACATGTATTTTCATTGTTTACTTCTCTTTATTCTCCTCCTTATATATTTCCCTCTTCTTCCACTGCATCAAGTCTGTCAACCAGAATGGAAAAACTCTCTGGGGTCAAACACATAAACACAGCTGGCAAACATTACAAATAACACACACACACACACAGTCCAAGAGGTCACAGAAAGATCACAGGGATGAAAGTAAAAGGTCATGGTTTTCCAGCAGATGGTTTAATGGAACGTAGCAACTAACTCAGTTCAACGCTAGAACAAACTACTGAAGCGTTAGAATGAGTGGTAAGAACAACCCTCATTACGAAATCCAGAAACTCCCTCAGGGATGTTAGCAAAATGGTTCAACATTTCAACATTTCCTGATTCGGGTTCTGTCATGGACCGACACACTTTCAGTCTTTCCTGTATATTTGAGATGCACAGCTACTGTAAAACATGACTGACATGAAGGTCTGGTCAACTGGAGACTGGGCAAAGATCAGTGGAACTTCAAAAGGGTTTGGATTAGGTCTGGGTATAGGGCAAAGGCTGTATCTGACGGCTATGGCAAGGCTGAACCATGGGTTGTGGCGAGGTAGCTGGGACTGGGGTTAGGTCAAAGGATAGGACTGGGACAGGGACTAGGGCTGAGTTGAGCAAGACTCTGACATACCCTCTGGTACAGGAGTGATATCGGTGATGCGGACGTGGGGGTTGGGTACTGGAGCTGGAGACACGTCCTTCCCCAGTGATGGAACCTCCGGGAGGGTGAAAACAATCTCATACTTGTGCTGGGTCTTCAGGAAACCAACCTGACAGATATATATAAATAAGAGAGAGAGAGAAATACATTCACCATACACACAAATGCACAGGAAAAGCATTTTCTAGCAATAAAAGAGAGAGTGAGATTCCAAAAATGAAAAGGAATTAGCGTTGCAAAGAAACTTCCAGTTTTTGAAGATGCACATCCTTCAGTTTCATCTGAACAAAATGGCAACAAAAAGAAACTAACTTGCTTTTCTCTCTGATAAACATCCTTTCTGGTTCATGTGATTTCATAAAAATCATACAATGCAATTTAACAATAGAGAGGAAGACAGAGAGAGTGAAGATGAAAAAGGGCATGATGGGGAAAGAAAATGGAGCAAGCGAAAAAGCTGCAAGAGAAGAGATAAGGAAGGAGGAAATAACAAGCCAAAGAGAGATCAAGTGAGAGAGAGAAATAGAGAGGGAGAAAGAGCGAACGCAAGAAAAAGAAAACGAGAGCGAAAGAGACAGAGAGAGAGAAAGGAAGGAGCCAATAGATTAGCCTCAGCCCTTCCAGACAGTCAAACGCCTCAAACAAGCCTCACATGACCCTCTGGCCTTGTCAAACAACAAACAATAACAACAAGTGAAGAAGAGAGGGCGAAAAGAGAGTGAAAGAAACACAAAAACCTAGTGCTTTGATTAAACAGCTATGCAGCATACCGTCCATGTCCAACCATCCCACACACTGACTACATCCCACCACATCTGATTTAAACAAGCCGCTGTTGCCAGAAGCAGCTACTCGGTGGTTCCAAGGGGGTGGCAGAGTACTTCAGACACAAGGCACATTCACCGCTGTCGTCTGTATGGTGGACCTCACTTCCCACACCGGGGCAGCAGAATCAAAGGGCTGTCAGAACCGCAGCACAGTCACACTACACGCCCACGACTACAGTGCTATGCTGCAAAGAGTACAGGGGTTCTCTGATCCACAGCCATCCCCTGGTACACAGAAGGGGAGAGGACTGGCACCAGTGACTCGGTTAATAAGGAAGTGGTCAGATGACGCAGATGCTAAGCTACAGGAAAGTTTTGCTAGCACAGACTGGAATATGTTCCGGGATTCTTCCGATGGCATTGAGGAGTACACCACATCAGTCACTGGCTTCATCAATAAGTGCATCGATGACGTCATCCCCACAGTGACCGTACGTACATACCCCAACCAGAAGCCATGGATTACAGGCAACATCCACACTGAGCTAAAGGCTAGAGCTGCCGCTTTCAAGGAGCGGGACTCTAACCCGGACGCTTATAAGAAATCCCGCTATGCCCTCCGACGAACCATTAAACAAGCAAAGAGTCAATACAGGACTAAAACTGAATCGTACTACACTGGCTCTGATGCTCGTCGGATGTGGCAGGGCTTGCAAACTACTACAGACTACAAAAGGGAAGCACAGCCACGAGCTGCCCAGTGACATGAGCCTACCAGATGAGCTAAATCACTTCTATGCTCGCTTCGAGGCAAGCAACACTGAAGCATGCATGAGAGCATCAGCTGTTCCGGATGACTATGTGATTACGCTCTCCGTAGCAGACGTGAGTAAGACTTTTAAGCAGGCCAACATTCACAAGGCACAGGGCCAGACGGATTACCAGGACATGTACTCCGAGCATGCGCTGACCAACTGGCAAGTGTCTACACTGACATTTTCAACATGTCCCCTGACTGAGTCTGTAATACCAACATGTTTCAAGCAGACCACCATAGTCCCTGTGCCCAAGAACATTAAGATAACCTGCCTAAATGCCTACCGACCTGTAGCACTCACGTCTGTAGCCATGAAGTGCTTTGAAAGGCTGGTCATGGCTCACATCAACACCATTATCCCAGAAACCCTAGACCCACTCCAATTTGCATACCGCCCCAACAGATCCACAGATGATGCAATCTCTATTGCACTGCACACTGCCCTTTCCCACCTGGACAAGAGGAACACCTACGTGAGAATGCTATTCATTGACTACAGCTCAGCATTCAACACCATAGTGCCCTCAAAGCTCATCACTAAGCTAAGGACCCTAGGACTAAAAACCTCCCTCTGCAACTGGATCCTGGACTTCCTGACGGGCCGCCCCCAGGTGGTAAGGGTAGGTAACAACACATCTGCCACGCTGATCCTCAACACGGGGGCCCCTCAGGGGTGCGTGCTCAGTCCCCTCCTGTACTCCCTGTTCACCCATGACTGCATGGCCAGGCACGACTCCAACACCATCATTAAGTTTGCCGGCGACACAACAGTGGTAGGCCTGATCACAGACAACGATGAGACAGCCTATAGGGAGGAGGTCAGAGACCTGGCCGTGTGGTGCCAGGATAACAACCTCTCCCTCAATGTGATCAAGACAAAGGAGATGATTGTGGACTACAGGAAGAAAATACATTCTCATCGACGGGCTGTAGTGGAACAGGTTGAGAGCTTAAAGTTCCTTGGTGTCCACATCACCAACAAACTATCATGGTCCAAACACACCAAGACAGTCGTGAAGAGGGCACGACAAAACCTATTCCCCCTCAGGAGACTGAAAAGATTTGGCATGGGTCCTCAGATCCTCAAAAAGTTATACAGCTGCACCATCGAGAGCATCCTGACTGGTTGCATCACCACCTGGCATGGCAACTGCTCGGCCTCCGACCGCAAGGCACTACAGAGGGTAGTGCGTACGGCCATGTACATCACTGGGGAAGAGTTTCCTGCCATCCAGGACCTCTATACCAGGCGGTGTGAGAGTAAGGCCCTAAAAATTGTCAAGACTCCAGCCACCCTAGTCATAGACTGTTCTCTCTGCTACCGCACGACAAGCGGTACCGGAGCGCCAAGTCTAGGTCCAAAAGGCTTCTTAACAGCTTCTACCCCCAAGCCGTAAGACTCCTGAACAGCTAATCATGGCTACCCGGACTATTTGCATTGTCCCCCCCAACCCACCCCCTCTTTTACGCTGCTGCGACTCTGTTTATTATCAATGCATAGTCACTTTAACTCTACCCACATGTACATATTACCTCGACTAACCGGTGCCTCCCTACTGTTATTTTAACGTTGCGCTTTAATATTTTTTACTTTTCTATTTTCTACTTAACACTTTCTTTTTTTTTTTTTCTTCTTAAAACTGCATTGTTGGTTAAGGGCTTGTAAATAAGCATATCACTGTAAGGTCTACACCTGTTGTATTCGGCGCATGTGGCAAATAACATTTGATTTGATTTGTAACTGAACCTTCAGAACAGATACAGGAGATTAGCAGAGATGAGAGAGAAACTCTCCTCCTCCCCTTAGTTGTCATACAGGTTTAGGGTTGCAAAATTCAGGGAACTTTTACTAAATTCCCTGGTTATCCCCAAATCCCGGTTGGAGGATTCCAGGAATCAGGAGGGAATAAGAAGGAAATCCAGAATCCTCCAACAAGGATTTCTAGTAAACCAGGGAATTTATTGAAAGTTCCTGGAATTTTGCAACCCGATACAGGTTAACCTCATAGTACAAAATGGCAACACTGTCTGTACTGATGTTTTCAAGAAAAGAGGGACCACTGGAGATGAAGGGGAAAGTTTAGGAGAATCCTAGCTCTATGGGTGTGCCGTTTTGCCAACTCTTATGGTCATTGTCACGTCAGACACGTTAAATTCTTTAATCCAAAACCCACCTTGACCATAAAGTTCCCATCAGGCTCAGGGATCACCATGACAACAGAGTCGTGGAGCTTCTCATCAAAGTGGACATGGGAGGGAGTGCCGGCGGCAGCGGTGGCTGGCTCTTCTGAGAAACTAACACCTCCCACCTTCGCCGCGGAGCCTGAAGAGGGAGAGAGCAACTAACTTAATGACTTGTCTCACACACACACACACACACACACACACACACACAGCAAGGGCCTCTGGTACAACAGTTTCCCATGGGAACAACTGTATGCCAGTGACACTCAGCAATGAGTGGTTAGTGGCTATAAAAGAAATTCAAAAAATATACATTTCATTTTTTTCATATTTATTTATTTCCAAGGGAGAACATGGCATCTTGAACTTTGATTGTAAATCCACTTATTTTCGGTCATTTGAGTGCCTCTTCAAAATGTATGTGATCACTCTTAAAAGCAATAGTAACAAAATATATTTGTAATCATGGAAGGAAAACACATCTTTCAGGGAGAAGATTGAGGATTTGATATGGGGTAAAGAATAATAAAGAAAAGACTAGGCCTATCCCAGAATGCCCTGCAGTCATAAGATAAACAACTTTATTATCCATTAAACGTTCATTAAATTGACATTTGAAGGAAACCACTTGTCACAGCATTTATAGAGGGAACAGACTAAATGGTATTATAGAATAATAGATCTCTACCACTGTCTCTCATGTCTCTGGTCAAAACTAGTGCACTATATAGGGAATAGGGTGCCATTTTGAAAAGAAGGTTGACGACATCCGATCCTCGTTTGTTAAGTCAAATGACATCGCTGGTCCTGCTCACACTGCCCTACCCTATGGTTTGACTTCTTTCTCCCCTCTCTCTCCAGATGAAATCTTGCGACTTGTGACGGCCGGCCGCCCAACAACCTGCCCGGTTGACCCTATCCCCTCCTCTCTTCTCCAGACCATTCCCGGAGACTTTCTCCCTTACCTCACCTCGCTCATCCTTGACCGCTGGCTATGTCCCTTCCGTCTTCAAGAGAGCGAGAGTTGCACCCCTTCTCAAAAAACCTACACTCGTGCCCTCCGATGTCAATAACTACAGACCAGTATCCCTTCTTTCTTTTCTCTCCAAAACTCTTGAGCGTGCCGTCTTTAGCCAACTCTCTTGCTATCTCTCTCAGAATTACCTTCTTGATCCAAACCAGTCAGATTTCAAGACTGGTCATTCAACTGAGACTGTTCTTTGTGTCATGGAGGCTCTCCGCACTGCTAAAGCTAACTCTCTCTCCTCTGCACTCGTCCTTCTAGACCTATCTGCTGCCTTTGATACTGTGAACCATCAGATCCTCCTCTCCACCCTCTCCGAGTTGGGCATCTCCGGCGCGGCTCACTCTTGGATTGCGTCCTACCTGACAGGTCGCTCCTACCAGGTGGCGTGGCGAGAATCTGTCTCCGCACCACGTGCTCTCACCACTGGTGTCCCCCAGGGCTCAGTTCTAGGCCCGCTCCTATTCTCGCTATACACCAAGTCACTTGGCTCTGTCATATCCTCACATGGCCTCTCCTATCATTGCTACGCAGACGACACACAACTAATCTTCTCCTTTCCCCCTTCTGATAACCAGGTGGCGAATCGCATCTCTGCATGTCTGGCAGAGATATCAGTGTGGATGACGGATCACCACCTCAAGCTGAACCTCGGCAAGAGGGAGCTGCTCTTCCTCCCGGGGAAGGACTGCCCGTTCCATGATCTCGCCATCACGGTTGACAACTTCGTTGTGTCCTCCTCCCAGAGTGCAAAGAGCCTTGGCGTGACCCTGGACAACACCCTGTCGTTCTCCGCTAACATCAAGGCGGTGACCCGATCCTGTAGGTTCATGCTCTACAACATTCGCAGAGTACGACCCTGCCTTACACAGGAAGCGGCACAGGTCCTAATCCAGGCACTTGTCATCTCCCGTCTGGATTACTGCAACTCGCTGTTGGCTGGGCTCCCTGCCTGTGCCATTAAACCCCTACAACTCATCCAGAACGCCGCAGCCCGTCTGGTGTTCAACCTTCCCAAGTTCTCTTACGTCACCCCGCTCCTCCGCACACTCCACTGGCTTCCAGTTGAAGCTCGCATCTGCTACAAGACCATGGTACTTGCCTACGGAGCTGTGAGGGGAACGGCACCTCCGTACCTTCAGGCTCTGATCAGTCCCTACACCCAAACGAGGGCATTGCGTTCATCCACCTCTGGCCTGCTGGCCCCCCTACCTCTGTGGAAGCACAGTTCCCGCTCAGCCCAGTCAAAACTGTTCGCTGCTCTGGCACCCCAATGGTGGAACAAGCTCCCTCACGACGCCAGAACAGCGGAGTCGCTCACCACCTTCCGGAGACACTTGAAACCCCACCTCTTTAAGGAATACCTGAGATAGGATAAAGTAATCCTTCTACCCCCCCTTACCCCACCCCCAAAAAATAAAAATAAATAATAATTGTAAAGTGGTTGTCCCACTGGCTATCATAAGGTGAATGCACCAATTTGTAAGTCGCTCAGGATAAGAGCGTCTGCTAAATGACGAAAATGTAAATGTAAATTTGGGAATCAGACTGTGTTTGTTTGAATGCCTTGTGTAACACATTAGATCACTGATCTTTTGAAATGCTGTAACTTGACTGTCCCTCTGGCATACATTGTCACAGTATCATCATATTCATATACTTTTTTATTTTCATACTTTATTTCCCATTAAAAGAGTGATGCGTATCTACAGCATTTATTTCCATTGCCTTGCTTGAGTTAATCCTATCTGGGTCAAGAAGATAAGAGTTTAGGAGTCATAATTACATTGTGAGTCAGAATTTCATCAGGCAGTGGATGGCTGTTCAGATTAAAATGATATAAAAGGATATTAAAAGAAGATAAAAATGTATGAGGTGGAAATATAACCCTTGAACCTAATCAACTTTACAGTTGCATGGTTTCATACAGTGCATTCAGAAAGTATTCACACCCCTTGATTTTTCCCCCCACATTTTGTTATGTTACAAAGTGGGATTAAAATGGATTTAATTGCAATTTTTTTGTCAATGATTTACACAAAATACTCTCATGTCAAAGTGGAAGAAGAATTCTAACTTTTTTTATGGAAATTAAAACACTAATAGATCTTGATTAGATAAGTATTCAAACCCCTCAATACATGTTAGAATCAACTTTGGCAGCGATTACAGCTGTGAGTCTTTCTGGGTAAGTCTATAAGAGCTTCGCAAACCTGGAGTGTACATTATTTGCCAATTATTCTTTTAAAAATTCTTCAAGCTCTGTCAAGTTGGTTGCTGATCATTGCTAGACAGCCATTTTCAAGTCTTGCCTTAGATTTAACTAGGCCACTCGGGAACATTCAATGTCGTCTTGGTAAGTAACTCCAGTGTATATTTGGCCTTGCATTTTAGGTTATTGTCCTGCTGAAAGGTGGATTTGTCTCCTAGTGTCTGTTGGAAAGCAGACCGAACCAGGTTTCCTCTAAGACTTTGCCTGTGCTTAGCTCTATTCCTTTTAAATGTTAAATCCTACAATAAAACTCCCCAGTCCTTGCCGAGTGGTACTCGGTAAAGTGTTGTGTTGTATTTGCCCACACCAAACATGCTTTGTATTCAGGACAAAAAGTGAATTTCTTGGCCACATTCTTTTGCAGTATTACATTAATTCCTTATTGCAAACAGGATGCATGTTTTGGAATATTTGTATTCTGTACAGGCTTCCTTCTTTTCACTCTGACATTTAGGTTAGTATTGTGGACTAACTACAATGTTGTTGATCCATCCTCAGTTTTCTCCTATCACAGCCATTTAACTCGAACTGGTTTAAAATATCCATTGGCCTCATGGTGAGTTAGGAAGAACGCCTGTATCTCTGTAGTGACTGGGTGTATTGATACACCATCCAAAGTGCAATTAAATAACTTCACCATGCGCAAAGTGATATTCAATGTCTGTTTTCTTTTTTTACTCATCTACCAATAGATGCCCTTCTTTGCGAGGCATTGGAAAACCTCCCTGGTGTTTGTCGTTGAATCTGTGCTTGAAATTCACTGCTCGACTGAGGGACCTTACAGATAATTGTATGTATGGGGTAGTCATTCAAAAAGCATGTTAAACAGCATTATTGCACACACAGTTATATTACTTGTTAAGCAAATTTTTACTCCTGAAGTTATTTCTGCTTGCCATAATAAAGGGGTTGAATACTTATTGACTCAAGACATTTCAGATTTGCATTTTTTATTCATTTGTAAACATTTCTAAAAACATAATTCCACTTCGACATTATGGGGTATTGTGTGTAGATCAGAGGCACAAAAATCTTAAAATGGAACCCATTTTACATTCAGGCTGTAATAACAAAATGTGGAAAAAGTCAAGAGGTGTGAATACTTTCTGAAGGCACTGCATGTCACCCTACAGGTTTTTATTGAAAGAGATTCTATAGGAATGATAACTATGATGACATCATAGAATTACATACAGTGAGGGAAAAAAGTATTTGATCCCCTGCTGATTTTGTACATTTGCCCACTGACAAAGACATGATCAGTCTATAATTTAAAATGGTAGGTTTATTTGAACAGTGAGAGACAGAATAACAACAACAAAAATCCAGAAAAACGCATGTCAAAAATGTTATTAATTGATTTGCATTTTAAATGAGGGAAATAAGTATTTGATCCCTCTGCAAAACATTACTTAGTACTTGGTGGCAAAACCCTTGTTGGCAATCACAGACGTCAGACGTTTCTTGTAGTTGGCCACCAGGTTTGCACACATCTCAGAAGGGATTTTGTTCCACTCCTCTTTGCAGATCTTCTCCAAGTCATTAAGGTTTCGAGGTTGACGTTTGGCAACTTGAACGTTCAGCTCCCTCCACAGATTTTCTATGGGATTAAGGTCTGGACTGGCTAGGCCACTCCAGGACCTTAATGTGCTTCTTCTTGAGCCACTCCTTTGTTGCCTTGGCCGTGTGTTTTGGGTCATTGTCATGCTGGAATACCCATCCATGACCCATTTTCAATGCCCTGGCTGAGGGAAGGAGGTTCTCACCCAAGATTTGACGGTACATGGCCCCGTCCATTGCCCCTTTGATGCGGTGAAGTTGTCCTGTCCCCTTAGCAGAAAAACACCCCCAAAGCATAATGTTTCCACCTCCATGTTTGACGGTGGGGATGGTGTTCTTGGGGTCATAGGCAGCATTCCTCCTCCTCCAAACACGGCGAGTTGAGAGCTCCATTTTGGTATCATCTGCCCACAACACTTTCACCCAGTTCTCCTCTGAATCGGGCGCGGCAGGATTTCAGTCCTTCACGGCATAGTGTGTTACCAATTGTTTTCTTGGTGACTATGGTCCCAGCTGCCTTGAGATCATTGACAAGATCCTCCCGTGTAGTTCTGGGCTGATTCCGCACCGTTCTCATGATCATTGCAACTCCACAAGGTGAGATCTTGCATGGAGCCCCAGGCCAAGGAGAACTGGGAGATTGACAGTTATTTTGTGTTTCTTCCATTTGCGAATAATCGCACCAACTGTTGTCACCTTCTCACCAAGCTGCTTGGCGATGGTCTTGTAGCCCATTCCAGCCTTGTGTAGGTCTACAATCTTGTCCCTGACATCCTTGGAGAGCTCTTTGGTCTTGGCCATGGTGGAGAGTTTGGAATCTGATTTATTGATTGCTTCTGTGGACAGGTGTCTTTTATACAGGTAACAAGCTGAGATTAGGAGCACTCCCTTTAAGAGTGTGCTCCTAATCTCAGCTCGTTACCTGTATAAAAGACACCTGGGAGACAGAAATCTTTCTGATTGAGAGGGGGTCAAATACTTATTTCCCTCATTAAAATGCAAATAAATGTATAACATTTATTAAATGCGTTTTTCTGGATTTTGTTGTTGTTATTCTGTCTCTCACTGTTCAAATAAACCTACCATTAAAATTATAGACTGATCATTTCATTGTCAGTGGGCAAACGTACAAAATCAGCAGGGGATCAAATACTTTTTTCCCTCACTGTATAGAATAGAATCTGTCTACTCTCTCTTGCCTGACCACTCACCCTGAATTGTATTCCCCTGATCTATCGATCGCTTAATACATTCAGTCAAACTGCCATCTTAGAAGTCGTTTGTGTTACTTCAAAATGAGGGGGCATTATGAACAAATTAATCAGCGATTGGATCGTCTCTAACAAATCTAACCAAACAGAGTATCAAAGTTGATAACGTCATCATGTAGGCTGGCTCTGGCCTAACCCATCAGTTTCTGGGACCAATCAGAACAGTCAGATTGTGTTCGCATTCTAAAAATCGTCAGTGAGGGAGGCAAATCCAGACTCATCGTAGAGAAGAAACGTCGGTTGGCCTGAGCGATGTGGATGGCTAGCCAGGCAATATTCTGAGCTTACCTCAGACAAAAAATATACAGTATAATATATATATATATATAGTAGCAGTCAAAGGTTTGGACACACCTACTCATTCCAGGGTTTTACTTAATTTTTACTATTTTCTACATTGTAGAATAATAGTGAAGACATAAAAACTATGAAATAACACATATGGAATCATGTAGTAACCACAAATGTGTTAAACAAATCAAAATATATTTTATATTTGAGATTCTTCAAATAGCAACCCTTTGCCTTGATGACAGCTTTGCACACTCTTGGCATTCCCTCAACCAGCTTCACCTGGAATGCTTTTCCAACAATCTTGAAGGAGTTCCCACATATGCTGAGCACTTGTTGGCTGCTTTTCCTTCACTCTGCTTTCCGACACATCTCAAACCATCTCAATTTGGTTGAGGTCGGGGGATTGTGGAGGCCAGGTCATCTGATGCAGCACTCAATCACTCTCCTTCTTGGTAAAATAGCCCTTACACAGCCTGGAGGTGTGTTGGGTCATTGTCCTGTTGAAAAACAAATGACAGTCCCATAAGCCCAAACCAGATGGGATGGCGTATCACTGCAGAATGCTGTGGTAGCCATGCTGGTTAAGTGTGCCTTGAATTCTAAATAAATCACAGACAGTGTCACCAGCAAAGCACCCACACACCATAACATCTCCTCCTCAATGCTTTACGGTGGGAAATACACATGCGGAGATCATCCGTTCACCCACACCGCGTCTCACAAAGACACGGCGGTTGGAACCAAAAATCTCAAAATTTGGACTCCAGACTCCACCCGGATTCCACCCGGTCTAATGTCCATTGCTCGTGTTTCTTGGCCCAAGCAACTCTCTTCTTCTTATTGGTGTCCTTTAGTAGTGGTTTCTTTGCAGCAATTCGACCATGAAGGCCTGATTCACACAGTCTCCTCTGAACAGTTGATGTTGAGATGTGTCTGTTACTTGAACTCTATGAAGCATTCATTTGGGCTGCAATTTCGGAGGCTGGTAATGCTATTGAAACTTATCCTCTGCAGCAGAGGTACCTCTGGGTCTTCCATTCCTGTGGCGGTCCTCAAGAGCGCCAGTTTCATCTTAGCGCTTGATGGTTTTTGCGACTGCACTTAAAGAAACTTTCAAAGTTCTTCAAATTTCCCGTATTGACTGACCTTCATGTCTTAAAGTGATGATGGACTGTCAATTCTCTTTGCTTATTTGAGCTGTTCTTGCCATAATATGGACTTGGTCTTTCACCAAATAGGGCCATCTGTATACCCCCCTACCTTGTCACAACACAACTGATTGGCTCAAACGCATTAAGGAAAGAAATTCCACAAATTAACTTTTAAGAAGGCACACCTGTTAATTGAAATTCATTCCAGGTGCCTACCTCAAGAAGCTGGTTGAGAGAATGCCAAGAGTGTGCAAAGCTGTCATCAAAGCAAAGGGTGGCTATTTGAAAAATCTCAAATAGAAAATATATTTTGATTTGATTAACACTTTTTTGGTTACTACATGATTCCATGTGTTATTTCATAGTTTTGATGTCTTCACTATTATTCTACAATGTAGAAAATATTAAGAAAAACCATTGAATGAGTAGGTGTTCGAAAACTTTTGACCGGTAGTGAGTGTTATATATATATATATATATACACATACATACATACATACCTACACACACACATACATATACACACACACACACAATGCCTTCAGAAAGTATTCAGACCCCTTGACTTTTTCCACATTTTGCTACGTTACAATTTCCTCATCAATCTACATAATGACAAAGCAAAAACAGGTTTAGACTTTTTTGCGAATGTATTAAAAATAAAAACAAATACCTTATTTACATAAGCATTCAGACCCTTTGCTATGAGACTCAAAATTGAGCTCAGGTGCATCCTGTTTCCATTGATCATCCTTGAGATGTTTCTACAACTTGTTTGGAGTCCACCTGTGGGAAATTCAATTGATTGGACATGATTTGGAAAGGCACACACCTGTCTATATAAGGTCCCACAGTTGACAGTGCATGTCAGAGAAAAAACCAAGTCATGAGGTTGAAGGAATTGTCCGTAGAGCGCCGAGACAGGATTGTGTCGAGGCACAGATCTGATGAAGGGTATTAAAAAAAAATCTGCAGCATTGAAGGTCCCCAAGAACAGAGTAGCCTCCATCATTCTTAAATGGAATAAGTTTGGAACCACCAAGACTCTTCCTAGAGCTGGCCGCCCAGCCAAACTGAGCAATTAGGGGAGAAGGGCCTTGGTCAGGGAGGTGACCAAGAACCTGATGGTCACTCTGACAGAGCTCCAGAGTGCCTCTGTAGCAATGGGAGAACCTTCCAGAAGGACAACAATCTCTGCAGCACTCCACCAATCAGGCCTTTATGGTAGAGTGGCCAGATGGAAGCCACTCCTCAGTAAAAGGCACACCTGTTTTTGTTTTGTTTTGTCTTGTCATTATGGGGTATTGTGTGTAGATTGATGAGAAAAAAATAATTTTATCCGGTTTAAAATAAGGCTGTAACGTAGCAAAATGTGGAAAAATTAAAGGGGTCTGAATACTTTCCGAATGCACTGTATATAAAAAACATTTTGTAAATTTTGCCGACCCAAGTGGGGTCGTGACCCCGACTTTGAATACCACTGCACTATAGGAAGATAAAAATGGGTCCACTTTGCCGGTAATATGGGTCAGATCTTTTGGCCTGGTTAGTCTAGAAGCAAGCCGTTTTTGCTGTAATGGTGCAACTATGATGCTAACGAATCTGTACTCGCTAGTTTCTCTAGGGCCCTCGGAAACAACAGTACAACCGATATGTTTACATATCTTGCACTACTCATCTCATATGTATATACTGCATTCTATTCTATAATATTCTACTGTATCTTAGTCCATGCCGCTCTGTCATTGCTTGTCCATATATGTATATATTCTTAAATCCCATTCCTTACTAGTTTTGTGTGTATTGGGTATATGTTGTGAAATTGTTAGATATTACTGCACTGTCGGAGCTAGAATCACAAGCATTTCGCTACACCCGCTATAACATCTGCTAAACACGTATGTGACAAATAACATTTGATTTGATTTACAGTGAAGCCTTATCGTTACAACAATTATAATCTGGGAGATTTTTTTTTATAGTCGCACAGCGCTCCCAAAATAAAAATCCTAGTCGCACAGCAAAATATTTTCGTTGCATATGCGATCAATTTGGTCACACTTTAGAGTCCTGAGTGTGAGTGATGCTGATGTATGAGGGGAGTCGGAGTAGCTCTCTGTCCACTCCAGTCTGAAGACTATCTACTATGCTACACTAGTTGAGAGGATTTGTGGATTCAGACAATGCTGAGAGAGATCCACAGCCTTTCAAACAAGACCGTACGTTAATCCACATTCTCTGGACACTAGCCCAGACAGTGAACTGCACTGGACACTGTGCTGGCTAGCTACCAGGCCTGGGTTCAGATAGTATTGGTTTTCTTTCAAATACTTGGAAGCATTTGATTGAGCCTATTTTGGAGAGTCAGGTGGGTAGCCCGGGCAGGGTTTGCACTTTTCCATTGATTCTATAGTGCCAGGCAAACTCAGTCAAGTGCGGCTGAAGTGTTTGAAAAAAACCAACAACATATATATACACTATTTGAACCCAGGTCTCTTAGCTGCTGAACATCCCAGGCCTGTTACATATACTACAGTGCAGTCTACAGTACAGGAGCTGGCTTCTCTGTCTGGTTGTCATAATCTCGCTCTCTTTTTCCCCTTTCTCTCTCACTCTACATCTGTCGGTCTGGGTCTGGATCATCGTTTCTCTCCTAGCCTCTGTTGTATATTAGATTACTGCATGGGTCTACCTCGCTCTCTAACCTGTCCTTTCACTCTATCCCCTCCATCTTTGTCACATGTCTATGTCTCTTTCTCTGCATGTCCATTGTTCTCCCCCCCACCCCCGGCTGTCTGGTTCTCTCTGGAAAGGAGAGGCAGGCAAGTCAGTGCTCGGCGCTGCACAAGACTTTAAACAAAGATCTATCACTACCTTTCTCTGATAACCATGGTAACATACTCCATTAGGCTTGTATCTCCATGTTCAGTTCCCTCTTCCACCCCTTGCTCTTTCTTTCTCCCCCCAAGGACCAAATTAAAAACTCTCTCTCACACACACACTCTCTCTCTCTCGCTCTCCCTCTCTCTCTCACTCCCCTGTGAAACTGGCTACATCCCAGACACATGAAAAATACATTGAAGTGAAAACAAATAGGAAGTAAATCGCCACTCTCATTCAGTAGCCTAATCAACGTGAGAACAAAGACCCAGGGAGAGGGGAGCACTTTGTGTGCAGAAACAAAAGCCTCCAATCGCCACTGGGGATGTATTAATGACAGTGAAAAAACGCGTTGAGTCACACTTTTAGTCTGTCTCCCAGGTGCTGTTCTCTGGCTGTGTTTCTATGAGGCTCCCTGAACACTTCCTGCTTATCCTTCATGTGCAACATATTCGTTCACACTGAGACACACACACACACAATTCAGACTCAATTCAATCAAGTCCACATTGTGTTTCTGCACATGTTTTGCCTAGAATCCCCTAAAAATACATTCTTCCAAAGACTATAAATTGATGCTTCTAGTTCTGAGAATAAGATGTAGTATGTGTGCATTGTAAACAAAGACATTGCATACATACAGTGGGGGGGGGAAAGTATTTAGTCAGCCACCAATTGTGCAAGTTCTCCCACTTAAAAAGATGAGAGGCCTGTAATTTTCATCATAGGTACACGTCAACTATGACAGACAAAATGAGGAAAAGAAATCCAGAAAATCACATTGTAGGATTTTTAATGAATTTATTTGCAAATTATGGTGGAAAATAAGTATTTGGTCAATAACAAAGGTTTCTCAATACTTTGTTATATACCCTTTGTTGGCAATGACACAGGTCAAACGTTTTCTGTAAGTCTTCACAAGGTTTTCACACACTGTTGCTGGAATTTTGGCCCATTCCTCCATGCAGATCTCCTCTAGAGCAGTGATGTTTTGGGGCTGTCGCTGGGCAACACGGACTATCAACTCCCTCCAAAGATTTTCTATGGGGTTGAGATCTGGAGACTGGCTAGGCCACTCCAGGACCTTGAAATGCTTCTTACGAAGCCACTCCTTCGTTGCCCGGGCGGTGTGTTTGGGATCATTGTCATGCTGAAAGACCCAGCCACGTTTCATCTTCAATGCCCTTGCTGATGGAAGGAGGTTTTCACTCAAAATCTCACGATACATGGCCCCATTCATTCTTTCCTTTACACGGATCAGTCGTCCTGGTCCCTTTGCAGAAAAACAGCCCCAAAGCATGATGTTTCCACCCCCATGCTTCACAGTAGGTATGGTGTTCTTTGGATGCAACTCAGCATTCTTTGTCCTCCAAACACGACGAGTTGAGTTTTACCAAAAAGTTCTATTTTGGTTTCATCTGACCATATGACATTCTCCCAATCCTCTTCTGGATCATCCAAATGCACTCTAGCAAACTTCAGACGGGCCTGGACATGTACTGGCTTAAGCAGGGAGACATGTCTTGCACTGCAGGATTTGAGTCCCTGGCGGCGTAGTGTGTTACTGATGGTAGGCTTTGTTACTTTGGTCCCAGCTCTCTGCAGGTCATTCACTAGGTCCCCCCGTGTGGTTCTGGGATTTTTGCTCACCATTCTTGTGATCATTTTGACCCCACGGGGTGAGATCTTGCGTGGAGCCCCAGATCGAGGGAGATTATCAGTGGTCTTGTATGTCTTCCATTTCCTAATAATTGCTCCCACAGTTGATTTCTTCAAACCAAGCTGCTTACCTATTGCAGATTCAGTCTTCCCAGCCTGGTGCAGGTCTACAATTTTGTTTCTGGTGTCCTTTGACAGCTCTCTTTGGTCTTGGCCATAGTGGAGTTTGGAGTGTGACTGTTTGAGGTTGTGGACAGGTGTCTTTTATACTGATAACAAGTTCAAACAGGTGCCATTAATACAGGTAACGAGTGGAGGACAGAGGAGCCTCTTAAAGAAGAAGTTACAGGTCTGTGAGAGCCAGAAATCTTGCTTGTTTGTAGGTGACCAAATACTTATTTTCCACCATCATTTGCAAATAAATTCATTAAAAATCCTACAATGTGATTTTCTGGATTTTTTTTCTCATTTTGTCTGTCATAGTTGACGTGTACCTATGATGAAAATTACAGGCCTCTCTCATCTTTTTATGTTGGAGAACTTGCACAATTGGTGGCTGACTAAATACTTTTTTTCCCCACTGTAAACATTGCCATGTCGGGGTTGGATTGCCAGGTCTTATTATCTTGTTGCTATGGGGTTTCCTGTACCCTTCTCGCCCATCTCTTCTTTAAATTACACACACTTACTAAGTAAGCATTTGTATACTGTAGTGATGTTATAACATAGTGGGGAGGGGGAGAGCAAGAGAGGGAAAGAGAGGGGAGGGGGAGAAAGATGGAGAGCGCCTCTACCATATTCGTGCCAATACCTCCCGTCTCGCTGAAACAAAGCCTCCGAAAAAAAAGACAAATCTATTACAGGTTCAAGCATTGAAAAATTAATCGCATTAAATCTGATTTAGTTGAACGATTTCCTGAGGACAGTGTGCTGTTTGATCAGAGGAAAGTCTGATTCAGGTGGGCTCCCTGTTTGATGTAATATGTGTGCATTGTAAACAAAGACATTGCATACATAAACATTGCCATGTCGGGGTTGGATTGCCAGGTCTTATTCTCTTGTTGCTATGGGGTTTCCTGTACCCTTCTCGCCCATCTCTTCTTTAAATTACACACACTTACTAAGTAAGCATTTGTATACTGTAGTGATGTTATAACATAGTGGGGAGGGGGAGAGAGGAAAAGAGGAAGCATGATTTGGGGGTTTTCGGTTACTGGCCCAATGCTCTAACCGCTACGCTGCCTGCTGCCCCTGGCTTGGAGACAGTTGAAGGGAGTGGCTGGAGAGTTCTATGAAGACTGATGGAAACCTGATCCAAACATCAACAATGTCTGCCAACCCTTGGGAGGCTATAGGACAGGGATAATCAACTAGATTCAGCCGTGGGACGATTTTTTCTTGAGCGGATGGTCAGGGGGCCGGAACATAATTACAAATAATTTGTAGACTGCAAATTGATCACAAGAAACCCAAACAGATATAATAGTTGACTAAAACATAATCATTTCAAATCTTGCTTACATTTGTATACAATCACGTGTCTCTATTATGCGTGAGAATACATGGGAACAGATTCCCAAAATTTAAATCACTTGGACCTGATTTCCGGGTGTTTTTACAGTCTTTTATGTCCAACAATAAAAATAAAATGTAAAAACCACCCGCGGGCAAAATTCGGACAGCGGGCGAACAGTTGGGGAACCCTGCTATAGGGGTTGTTTCTGGACAGGGTCCATGTGGAGGAAGAACAAGCTCAGGTAATAAAGCATGATGTACTACAGTACCCATAATGCTCTGTAACCATATCCGTTTTTATCCACCTAAAGACGTTCCTAAGCTAACACTATGGCAGGAGTAGGCAACTAGATTCAGCCGCGAGCCAATTTTTGGTCGGAGCGGATGGTCGGGGGGCCAGAACATAATTTAAGAATTTGTAAACTGCAAAATTGGCCACAACTAAGCCCAAAAAGATATTGCATTTGAAAATAACTATACATTTCATACCTTGAACACATTGAGACATATGAGAGCTGTACTGTGTTTTGAATTGGAAGACATTTTAGAAATACCCATTCTTGCGTTGAAAACCACATAACAGGGGAAAAGGGACAAGAGCCTCTACAACAATACAATAGAAAAAGGTACTTACTCTTCCTAGCAGTAGCCATGCCAGGGTTGGTCCAACACAGACACACACAGAACCCACCCGTCACAGCCTGGTCATCTCTATGGCCCAGCCTCAAAACGACCCTGAGAGAGACACACGAGAGAGAGGGAGAGAAACGAAAGAGAGAGCGAGAGAGGGGATAAAGCAGAGGTTTCAATGATAAAGGATTAACAAAATGAGGGAGGGCAATGAAGAAAGAGCTTAAGAAGCTAAAGAAAGGAGAAAGTGACATAACCGTAATGAAATCAGGAAATAAATACTTCTGAAAGACAAGCTGGTATTTGTCTTTAATAAATCCTAGCCCCAGGTTACTAACTCTGTTCAAACGACGGCACCCAGCTGTGTGCCAGGCTCTATCGCCAAGGGAGAGCGGAAGCTCCCGACTGACTTAAAATAAAGAAAAACAACAAACAAACATTCAAAGAGGATTAAATTAAAACCAAGGAGTGTCAGATGTTTATTTTAACATTTCAGGGAACCTCACAGGTTTCTGTAAAAGAAAGGACGAAATATAACCCTAACAAAAATCAAGAAGGGAGGCGTCTTAAAAGGTTGTTGAAAGATGCAGCACTCCTAGTGATTCCAATGACGTCAGGTGAGGGTCATAGGGCGATGTTGAAATACTACGAAAAATGACAAGTTCCTCTGACTGTAACTGTGAAACCACTGGCCTGAAAATAATGGATAGGTGACCACTGACAAGTGGCAAATTGGGTGTTTCACCATATTGCTTTTGCCTGTTCAGTCCTTTCAGATCAGTCAGTAGCTAAAGAGACAGACCATTGGATTGTCCCTTGGACGTAGCCACAATTGGAAGAGAACCAAAATATGTGCTTATTTACAATTCACCTTTTTAATAAATACAGTGACGGGGCCTCCCGAGTGGCGCAGCGGTCTAAGGCTAGAGGCGTCACTACAGACACGGGTTCGATCTCAGGCTGTATCACAACCAGTCCCATAGGGCGGCGCACAATTGGCCCAGCGTCGTCCGGGTTAGGGGAGGGTTTGGCCAGGGGGGCTTTAATTGGCTCATCGCGCTCTAGCAACTCCTTGTGGCGGGCCAGGCGCCTACAGGCTGACCTCGGTCGTCAGGTGAACAGTGTTTCCTCCGAAACATTGGTGCTGCTGGCTTCCGGGTTAAGCGAGCTGGTGTTAAGAAGCGCGGTTTGGCGGGTCATGTTTCGGAGGACGCATGACTCGACCTTCGCCTCCCGAGCCCGTTGGGGAGTTGCAGCGATGAGACAAGATCAAAATTGCGGAGAAAAAAGGGGGTAAAAAAATACAAAAATTATAATTATATATATATTTATTTTTTATACAATGCCTTCTGAAAGTATTCAGACCCCTTGACTTTTTCCACATTTTGTTAGGTTCTAAAATTACAGTTTTTTACCCCTCATCATTCTACATTTGACATTTTTGTCATTTTAGCAGACGCTCTTATCCAGACCGACTTACAGTTAGTGAGTGCATACATTTTCATACTACACACAATACCCCAAAATGACAAAGCAAAAACATGTTTTTAGAAATGTTTGCTAATTGATTAAACATAAAAAAACGTAAATATCACATTTACATAATTATTCAGACCCTTTACTCAGTACTTTGTTGAAGCACCTTTGGCAGCGATTACAGCCTCGAGTCTTCTTGGGTATGACATTACAAACTTGGCACATCTGTATTTGGAGAGTTTCTCCCATTCTTCTGTGCAGATCCTCTCAAGCTCGGTCAGGTTGGATGGGGAGTGTTGCTGCACAGCTATTTTCAGGTCTCTCCGGAGATGTTCGATCGGGTTCAAGTCCGAGCTCTGGCTGGGCCACTCATGGACATTCAGAGACTTGTCCCGAAGCCAATCCTGCGTTGTTTTGGCTGTGTGCTTAGGGTCGTTGTCCTGTTGGAAGGTGAACTTTCCCCCCAGTCTGAGGTCCTGAGCACTCTGGAGCAGGTTTTCATCAAGGATCTCTCTGTACTTTGCTCCGTTCATCTTTCCCTTGATCCTGACTAGACTTCCCAGTCCCTGCCGCTAAAATACATCCCCACAGCATGATTTCTCTGACATGCACTGTCAACTGTGGGACCTTATATAGACAGGTGTGTGCCTTTCCAAATCATGTCCAATAAATTGAATTTACCACAGATGGACTCCAATCAACTTTTAGAAACATCTCAAGGATGATCAATGGAAACAGGATGCACCTGAGCTCAATTTCGAGTCTCATAGCAAAGGTTATGAATACTTACGTGAATAAGGTATCTGTTTTTTATTTTTTAATACATTAGCAAAATGTTCTAAATACCTGTTTTCGCTTTGTCATTATGGGGTATGTGTGTAGATTACTGAAGACATTTTTTTTTGTTTTAATCCATTTTAGAATAAGGCTGTAATGTAACAAAATTTGGAAAAGGTCAAGGGGTCTGAATACTTTCCAAAGGCACTCTAAATAAGCATTGAATAATGGATTATGTAAGTGATCTACTACAGCGAACATTTTGTATGCTATAGACAGGCTTTTACTATCTCTTGTAGTCAAGTTCTTAGTTATTTTTACCACGGCAACAGAGGCCTGATACGTTCCAAGAGGACTTCCGCTCCCTGACACATTTAACCATTTGGAACAGTGAGTAAGAACAACTCCCTCTCAGGAGTCAGGGACCCCAGAACCGCTTTAGGTTTGAACCCAGTTGTCTTTAGGTTCAAAAAGCCTGGGAAAGAAACGATTAAACACACCCTCCTTTTTCTACTGCAAAAGAAGGAAGAAGCATCCTAGAGGGAGGTGATTAAAAATATGGCATGTCCATTAACAATAATGCTGGCACACATAGATTGCCTTGTTTCTTAACTCATGCCTGATTTGCAATATAGGGTCGAGCCAAGCTATACTGGGCTAGCCTGGAAAAGCATCCACCAAAGCTGCTGGAACCATGCATTGTGAAAGGAAAACATCAGAGCCAGCATGGTGCTGTTCAGGTCGGCCCTAAAGTGCGAATTAGACAAGGCTGTCTAGGCTATAACCTAACTCAGTGTGATTGGTCGGTTGGTAGGCCTACTCATCTGAGCATCAAATCAGGTCACTGACTGTCACAATAAAAAAAGTAATATGAAAGGCTACTCAGGGGACTAGGACACAGGTTCTTCTTTCAGACCCAGAAGGTTCTATCAGTCACAAACGTTTGTGACCGCCCTGAAACCACAGGGTGTTTAGAGGGAGGGATGGGATCTAGTGCCAAGATCATGAAACAGTTGAGAGAAAGAAAATAAAACAAAACATGGAACCCTCTGGGTATGAAATTGGGACCCGCAGCCCCCAACCACAGGTGTGCTCAGGGCTGTGAGATTATCATCTTCTAAAACGCCAACTGCCAAGATGAAATAATGCTACAGATGAGAGAGAAACGCTTTAGAAACTAAACTGCAATAACATGTTATATTTACATCTTTGTCTTCAAATACTTGATTTATGCATCCAATTTAAAACATTCCTTTTGAAACCCTCGCCATCGTTCAGTGCAAGCAGAGATTTGCCTTCCCTGCGGCAGGAGACATTCATATTTTAATAAATTAACTATATGCAATGTGGTTAGCCTACAACATCCACACTTTAATGTAGTTTTCACCAGTAACCTAATTTGTAGCCTATTAATATAGGCTAGATTAGGGGTAGGCAACCCTGGTCCTGGGTTGCCGCAGGCACTTTATGTTTTGATTTAACAGACCTGGAAGTCCAGGTGTGTTGAATTTAGGCAATCACTGAACTGATCAATTCGCTCAGTTGGCCAGCTGTGGTGCCTAGTTGGAACAAAATCTAATTCAAATCAAATGTTATCTGTCACGTTTTGTAAACAACAGGTGTAGACTAACAGTGAAATGCTTACTTACGGGCTCTTCCCAACAATGCAGAGAAAATAAATAGAAAAATAATAACATGAGGAATAAATACACAATGAGTAACGATAACTTGGCTATATACACGGGGAACCAGTACCGAGTCGATATGCAGGGGTATGATGTAATTGAGATGGATACACTACCAGTCAAAAGTTTGGATACACCTACTCATTCAAGGGTTTTTCTTTCTTTTTACATTGTAGAATAATAGTGAAGACATCAAAACTATCATGTAGTAACCAAAAAATGTTTTTAAACAATCTAAATATATGTTATAATTGAGATTCTTCAAATAGCCACCCTTTGCTTTGATGACAGCTTTGCACACTCTTGGCATTCTCTCAACCAGCTTCATGAGGTAGTCACCTGGAATTACATTTACATTTTAGTCATTTAGCAGACGCTCTTATCCAGAGCGACTTACAGGAGCAATTAGGGTTAAGTGCCTTGCTCAAGGGCACATTTACGTCATTTAGCAGACGCTCTTATCCAGAGCGACTACAAATTGGTGCATTCACCCTATAGCCAGTGGGATAACCACTTTACAATTATACTTATTATTATTTTTTTTTATTTTTTTTTTTGGGGGGGGGGTAGAAGGATTACTTTATCCTATCCCAGGTGTTCCTTAAAGAGGTGGGGTTTCAAATGTCTCCGGAAGGTGGTGAGTGACTCCGCTGTCCTGGCGTCGTGAGGGAGCTTGTTCCACCATTGGGGTGCCAGAGCAGCGAACAGCTTTGACTGGGCTGAGCGGGAACTATGCTTCCGCAGAGGAAGGGGAGCCAGCAGGCCAGAGGTGGATGAACGCAATGCCCTCGCCTGGGTGTAGGGACTGATCAGAGCCTGAAGGTACGGAGGTGCCGTTCCCCTCACTGCTCCATAGGCAAGCACCATGGTCTTGTAACGGATGCGAGCTTCAACTGGAAGCCAGTGGAGTGTGCGGAGGAGGGGGGTGACGTGAGAGAACTTGGGAAGGTTGAACACCAGACGGGCTGCGACATTCTGGATGAGTTGTAGGGGTTTAATGGCACAGGCAGGGAATGTATTTCAATTACAGGTGTGCCTTCTTAAAAGTTAATTAGTGGAATTTCTTTCCTTCTTAATGCGTTTGAGCCAATCAGTTGTGCTGTGACAAGGTAGGGGGGTATACAGAAGATAGCCCTATTTGGTAAAAGACCAAGTCCATATTATGG